TCATTCTGAAGGTATTAACGTCACTTGGAAAAGAAATCTCCTTTAAGTCTCAATCCTTCAAATTAACTGCCGATTCATTTACTTCAGATGCTCTCAAGGCAACTTTGACTTTTTAGCCACGGCTATCTATGCTCTACCCTACTTGAACCATCACAACAATTTATAAGACTAATTGTGTCTCTTAGCCTCCAACATAAATGATCCATGGATATTCTTTGTTGACTTTAATGATATCTCTTTTAGCAATAAATGTGTTAAGGGCTCGGGAGTTTCATATGCTCACTTCTAATAGTTTCAAGATAAAATCCCTACATGTGCTCTTACAAATTTAGGTAGCATAAAACCAAAATTTTCTTAGAAAGGTCATCGTTTAATTAATTTTCTTTAACTTTATGAGAGATTTACTAAGCTCTTGCCAACATCCAATTTCTCCTTCACTTCTTAGATTGCATTGTAAAGGCACTTCCCTGAACCTACTTTCAAATCATAATTCTCTTTTAATTCAAACTAGTAAATGCTTGGATTTGGGCTTTGGCATAATACCTTTTAGATTTGAAACTATATGGCTTTCTTATTATAATTTTAAAAGTTTTCTTAGAGAAAGTTAGGTTGTGAATGACCCTTTATACCTTGATCTTGAAAATTATAAAAATTCTCTCTTGGATTGTCATGAAGAATTCTTTAGTTTTATGGAGTAGAAAGAAGCACATTCTTACTCGGTTGAATGGTATTCAAAAATCCAATTTCTATCCCTTCTCCTATTTCCTCACCAATCTAGATGAGAGGTACAAGTTGATTTAGAAAATATCTTAAAATTGGAAGAAACTAAGTGGTTTCCAAAGGCTTGAACTAAATGGATTACTTAAGGAGATCAAACACTCGCTACTACCACCGACCACTATGAGAAGACAGGGAAATCATATGATTGCCATGATTAAGGTATTTAGATTGATAATGATGATGATTTGCAAAAGTTAGTAACCAATTATTTTAAGGATATGTTTTAACAGAATGACTCTACTGAGGCTAACTTACAGTCCATAAAATTATTTCCCATATATGACTTAATTATTTGTTAGTAACCTTCCTTTGACACTTATAAATAAGGAAATTAAGAAGGCAATCTTTGCCATGGGTCCTCATAAAGCCCTCAGTAATAATAGTTTTGCTCCAATTTTCTTTCAATCTAAATGGGATGTAGTCGAACCTTCTTTTTACTCTTATATTAAAGATGTTTTTGAAGAAAAAGTTAATCTGGCTGATGTAAAGAAGATGTTGATTGCCTTGATCCCTAAAAGGGACAACCCTTTCCTTGTAAACCACTTTCAATCAATTTCACTATGTATTGTGCACTACACATATGTTACTAAGATTTTAAACCATCAATTAGAGGGTTTGATGAATCACTTAATCTCCCCCTTTCAATCTAGCTTCATCCCAGGCCATTAAATTGAAGACAACATAATCATTAAGTAGGAATTAATGCACGTTATGAAAAAATCAAAAGGCAAAAAGGGTTTCTTTTTTATGAAAGTTGATTTAGAGAAAGCTTTTGACCAAATCCATTGGGATTTCTTGAAGCAGGTTCTTCAATCTATAATAATGAACTTTGACTTTATTGATTTAATTTTAAAATACATCTCTACTCTTTCATGTAACATACTTTATAATGGTTTACATTTTGATTTTTTTGTACCTAGAAGAGGCCTCTATCAAGGGGACCTATCTCACTTTTCTATTTTTCCTTTACATGGATAGATTGTCTCATTTAATCTATGATGCAAAAGAAAATAGTAGCTAGAAACTTATTTTTGTATCTTTCTCTATCCTACAATTTCTAATCTCATATTTGCATATGACATCCTTTTATTTGGGGAGGCCTTAAAAGAATAGGCCTTGGTTAGGATGAATTACCTATAAGCCTTCTATAATGCCTCTGGGGAAAAAGTCAACTTCAGCAAATCATCTCTCTTCTTCTTTAAGAATGTCCCTGCTACATGAGGAGGGAGAATCAAAGCTATCACTAAGCTACATATTTTTAAAGATATACATCATTACCTTGGCTTTCTTATTTCTTCTAGTCAAAAGTCAGCTTGACTAAAATAAACTTATGGGATGGAAATCCAACTGCCTCTCAACTACAAGCCATTTTACTGTAGCTAATTTTGTTATTAGCACCATTCTTTTGTATCCAATATAAGTTTCTAAGATTTCTACTCTCTATTTGCAAAGAAGTTGAAAAATTTCAAAGGAACTTCATTTAGGGAAATAGCTACTATCGTATTAATTAGGAGAGAACAACCATTCTTAAAGCCTTTTTAGTCTAGGCATCAAATGACTTGTCTTTATTAATGATGCTTGTGGTGTCAAGCTTTCTTGGAAACTTCTCTTGGGTGATAAGGGCTTATGGGCTAATGTACTTCAACATAAATACATGCTTAGAAATGAGGAGAATATTCTTCAACCAAAGCCTGGTGACTCTCAACTATGGCATTTCATTTGGCAACAAGAGGAGACTATTAAGGAAGCCACTATGTGGCAAATTTAAAATGACTTGAGTGTTTCTTTCTTTAATGATTATTGGTTAATTCTTGGTATAAAGCTCAAAGACTTGTCTTAGACCTTTATCTTTAGGGGAAGCGAAAAGCATAGTATAGCTAATTGGATAGTTTATAGTTCATGGGATTTCATAAATCTCGCACCCATCCTCCTCGAGGATGTGATCCTCAAGTTAATAATTGTCCTCTCTTCCTCATAGCAAGCTAGAAATGATATCATGACATGGAGTTCTTCTTCGAATGGTATTTTTTTCTCTCGAGAGTGATTACTTTCTACTTGGAAAAAAACCCTTCCAATCTCTATAGCCCTATGTTTAATACTATTTGGAAATAAAGAGGTGTTGAGAGAATCTACTTCTTTATTTAGATGATGTTTCATAATAGATTTCCTACTAATTTGTGCAGGAGCTCTTGGTCCCAAGCATCCCCCTTTTGTGACTGGTGTAATGCTACAAATGAGGATATATTACATATTTTGCCTGATTGTAATTATGCTCACAGCCTAGGTGGTCCGCCTGAATCATCTTCCCTCTTTCTTCTCTTACTCTTTGAAATATTGGATGTCCTTTAACCTAAAATTGAATATGAGCCTCTCTTCCACTCTTGACTAGGACTTATTTTAGGGAATTGCCCTATGGCACTTATGGAAATGGAGGAACAAATCCAAACTTTAATTCCAACTCTTAGAAACCAGCTAATCCCGTGACTAACTTACTGGCGATATAGAAGTCATCTACATTAAATTATGTTTTGAATCTAAACTACTCTAAAGCTTAAGTTCTATTAATATTACAAATGTCCATGTCACCATGTTTTTTATCTTAAAAAATTTAGCCAAGTTGGGCCTTGTAATTTACCAAAGTTAGAGTATACCTTCTAAGCCATGCTTAAAGAGCATTAAAATATTTGTAAATCGCTCACCATACAATAAGATATTCACATTGGTAATAGGATTTAAATTTACAATTTTGTGAGTCATGGATGACATTAGTAATGAAGCTACTATTACCTTGGATTGGGGACAAGTTCATTTAAAGATTAGTAATTTAAAAAATAAATTAATAATTTAAAATTAATTATATATTCATTATATAGCCAGGCTATGAGTTGATAAAATTTAAGAATTTGGATTCATATTAAGAGTAAGATTAAAGTGGGTTTAATTTTTTTGGTCAAAAATTATATAGCTAGGCTTTGAGTTAAAATATTAAAAATGGAGGTGCAAAATATTTATAGGAAAGCGTATGCAAAATGGAAAAAAAGAAAAAAAAAACTCATCCCATCATTTGCAACTTTTTTCAAGTGAGGGTGCATATTATGACTCCGCCACTTAATAAATTCATATAAACTAATTAACATTTTTCTGCTTTGTAACACTTAAAAATGAAAAATAATAATATTATAATTATACTTTATCAATATATTTTCTTAAGTAAATATGAAAACTCACGATACATACTCGCCCAACTTATGATTTTACCAAAAAACTAAGAAATTGAAGCACTAGGTGTAGACCAATAAAATAGGGCTAACAAAGCAAGTCGTAAAGAGATACATGGAGAAAGAAGAGCTTAATTGCTTAATTTCTTGGTCATGGTGATTTAAGGAGAAGAGCTGATGAAGATTTTTATGGAGAGTGATCAGAAGACTCACTCATAAATTAATAAGTACTCTATCGTATATAGTCTTGTTGGAATTTTGCCAGAGTAAACATTATTAATGTTATATGGAAAATATCTTGAAGTGTGAAATTAAAACGGCAAACGCCAGATGGGATTGAAGTTTTCGATCATGTGATGAAGCTATGGAGAGCTATGAAACTGAAGTTCCCTCTGCATGCACGCCTGCTTCCTCCTGCTCTTCTCAGAAACAATATAGAGAATCCGATGCCTGTCCCATGTTATCTGTCTCTACCAATGACAAAAAACAAGAAAAATAATCAAATCCACTAATAATCCCCATTTATATTCACGTTAACCAACTAAAAAAATGACAAATATAGGAATTCTTTACTGATCCTAATTGGTGTATAATTCTGCATTTATTTAACAGGGGTATCCAAGAGTTTTTCTAAATATTTATTTGAGTACTAGAAAAGAGTTAGATAAAAATCAAATGATAATTATTATTCTACTCCTGCATAATTTTAGAAGATATTTTTAAAAGTAATTTTATGTCCCCAAATATAAGTCATTTTAAAAAAATAAAAATAAAGTTAATTAATGATGGCTATTTGAATATTATTTCTAATTATTTTACTCCTTAAATAAATTTTCCTTAATCTTTTTTTACCAATGAAGGATATTTTAGAGTTTATAGAGTAATTAAGATTATTAGTTGTATTTAATGAATTTTATTAAGATGTGTAATTTTCTTAAAAAAATATCTTATAAACTGGAATTGCGAAAATACAATTAATATATAATTAATGTGTAACCGAATCACTGAATAGAAACAAAAGTTTTTGAAATTTAATAATATAAAAAATGAGTATGGACGTAGAAGAAACGCAAGCAACCCATATAACTCCAACAAGTTCCTTGGGGATCACCCTGCATCTCGTCAGCTTACACGCTTTGCTCAGCAGGGGCTGTCCAGAGCTATAACTGACAGTTCGTCCTCGTCAGTACGTTTTAACCCCAAAAGAGATCGATTGAGAAAGCAAGACAGACATCCGAAGGGCTGAGAAGGAGCAATACTAGAAACGAGATACAACGCAGCGGCGCTTCTGCTTGTACCTCCCCCCCCCCCCTTCTTTTTCTTTTTTTCCGAGCTAGCCAGATATCTCTATCATTTATTAATTTATACCCTCTTACGCTTCTGTTTAATTGTACTTGAATTGTCCTTCAAACAGGCAGCCATGTCTGCGTCCGATTCCACAGGGAAGCAGCCAGATGTTGTAGAAGCTTCGAGTGGGATGGCAAAAGAACCTGAGCTGAAAGATGTCAATGATATGGACGACGATGGGTGCAAAACTCCCACTAGGCCAGAAAACCAGATACGTGTTCAAAGCTGTCCACCTGCGCCCAGAAAGAGAAGACCAACTCCTTCGTCAACTTCTAACAGGACGTTCTTCACCTTGCAGTGCATCATTGTGCTTCCAGAGACGATCGATGCCTTCTTCCCAGCTTCTGGGCAGTCTTCCAGCGGGGCCACCAAGAGGCGCAGAACAGGATAAACATGTGAAAGTTTTAGTCTTTCTGGTGATTATATGCTTAGTTGTGGACTTCAGTTTCGGTGTTGTGGGTCATATATATCATATGTATTTCTTATCCATGTTGTTACTTAGAATTTTCCTAGTTCTGCATGGTTGGTTGTTCGTGTCATGTCTTCTGTATTGGTGCCAGTAATCAGTTCGTTAGCTGTATGCTTACAGCTTCCATGAATTAGCTGAGTTATGTATTCTTGCATGGTTCGTCGATTTCCCTCTTTCCGCGGAAAAGTTGAAAAGACTTTTTCCTTCATTCAAAATGAATGAATGGTTTACATGCAATTTAATAGAATGAGCCAGTCTTTGATTCCATATATATATATATAGAGAGAGAGAGAGAGAGAGTTGAACATGCGCAGGTCTGGACAAGAATATTCATTCGACAAGAATATTCATTGACCAGCTTCATTTTACAGCGACCTGCAGCTGCACTGTGTTGTGGTGAGTGAGGAAGACACAGAGGGTGTGTAGGTCCCACATGTCAATGGGACCCACACAACCCCTCAGTCTCTCTCTCTCACACATGCCACGACGTTTGATAGAATCGGTGATCACCGGAGCAATATTTAAAACGTCTACACTGAATGAATCATCTTCCATGGTTTTGTTTTGTTTTCTGCGAAACTGTTTCATGCCAAATTGCCAACTCAAGCACACTGCATCGATCAATTTGAAAGGGAAGAGTGCTGGTGCTTTCTCCAGAAACAAGAACATATTAGCATCAACGGTATTTCATCAATTTGCTCATGTGTTTATGGTCCAAGTTTAAAAAAAAAAAAATTGCTCTCGTTTTCTGTTCGAATTAACTTCGAAGTTTAATTTGCACCACTCCTTCTAGAAGACTTCATGACATATTTGCGACGTCACTAAGCCCGGGCATCAATATGTACATGCTCCTATTAGACACTTCAATTTCATTTCCTGCAAAAACTTGCATATCAAGGTCTGATCGATAAGGTTCGAAGTTGGTTGCCACCAGCCGTTTGGGAAAAATCATAAAGAAGCAAAGGCACATAACAGGTCTACAATCCAGATGTTGATTATCTGCAGAGCCACATTTAATGATCGGCAATCCTTCTTTATGACCCACCCATATTCATAACTCCAGATCATTTGTCGTATCAGGCGGCTCTCAACCTTGGGTGATTTAATGTATACATTTAATTAACCCTGGAAGACTTATCAGGCCCAACCCCATAGTTACTCCGCTACCAACTTCAATTCAGGTGTGGATCATCTGAGGTAGGCTTATGTGAAGTGCCTGTAAAGTAATTGAATCGTAACCATTCATTGGACGATATTGGATGAAGTTGCGATTAACTCAACCACGTGGTGCAATGCATATGCCAGAATGTTGAGCATTCATCCCCATCCTCTAGCTCCATCGTCATCGTCATTCCCAAACTTCACAAGGAGCTCAGCGCTACCTATCGTTCAGAAAATTTGATGCCGATAAATAGTATCACTATCCTGACGACGTAAACTTCGCAGGTCTGGCACGTCCCAACAACACCCTCTTGAATCCTCAGAACCCACTTTGAATCCTGCCCCTGAGTTCTATCGCAACTCCAAGTACTGCAAACCCGTCAAAGATGGTATGTTGCATCAGAAAGTGATCATTACTCTGCTCGCACCGCCCACATTGCTAAGGCCATGAGCTGAAAGCGCCACCCGAGAGCTCGAAGAACCATTCTTTCATTCTTTCAATCCGAATTCTCCTATGCTGTGTGTTTTGTTGTTTCTCACATATTTCTGCTACGGTATTGAATTATCCAGTGCGTGTGTTGACGGCCTCGGTATACTTGCTGTCTTCAGATATAAAAGGGAAAATTTCAGCCAGGACCCCGGACCGAATATAATGAAAAAGAAGACCTTCAAATTTCTGATATCTCATTGCAAGTCTTGGATCCTCATTTGATATTAATTTGGCAAGCCAAGGCCAAGTTGCCCGCAGAAAAAAGAAAAGCTGAAAGCTTGCGGTCGAAGAGGCGAAGTACGGGAATGCTCTGTTCCTCTCACTCTCCTTCTCTCTCACCTTTTCTAAGATCATGACCACTTGATAAATTAACCAAGGTGTACTCTACGAAAGTATAATTGATTTGGGGTTGGGAACACGAGTAGATATGGTTGGGTAAGACTTATCTTTCTCTCCCTCCAACCTATCTTTAGTAGAAAATCACAGAGGAAATTTCATTTTGGTGAAGAGATGGTAACGATCTAGTTGAGACAATCTTAGTTTCCAATCAGTAGGTTTTTGACATATGGTTAAGAATGAAACAGAGCCACCTATTATAGCAAATATTTTCATACCGTGATGTTACCCATATATCGGTATAAAAAAGTTGTTGGATGTAAATTTGAAATGCATGGATGCAATTAAAAGATGAAGGGAAAAAAATTACCTTTCATATTTGTATGTCACTAATATACTAGTATGTGATTTTCATACTGGTATGTACAAGTTATACCGATATGAATGTGTGTTTTTTATCTATCTATAACAGCCTCCATCATACTGGTAATACCTATTGATATAGGTATGTATAATACATACCAATGTAATCACGCCATATTGATATGATTTTGGCATCCATAATAGCCTTAAGCATATCGACATGTCTATTTTATACTAGTATTTGTAGTACATACTGATATAGATAAGACATACCATTATGATTGTGGCTTCTACAATAGCCTCAATCATGCTGTTATGTTTATTTCATATCATTATGTATAATATATATATCGGTATAATTAAGACATACTGGTATCACAATGGCTGTCATAATAGCCTCAATCATATTGGTATGTCTACATACCAATATGAGTTTAGTTTTAAACACTGAATTATAAATCTTTCAAATTATGGTTCACTTACTCTACATATCATGTTGATTTCTTTACCTAACGTGTTTGATATGACATTGGCTTCAAAAAATTTCAAGTGTATGTTAGTTTCATGTTTCAATGACTTATTTGAAACCTTACTTTTTGTGGTTCATTTCCCTACATGATATTTATGGCCCTACCTTACTTGTTCCTTATAACACTGACTTTCAAAAAATTTCAAGTGCTTGTAATAACTAGTTTTAAGTAAGGATGACTTGTTCATTATACTACTGTGTGTAATTTATTACCTTACAAAATGTTGTTAGTTTCCTTATATAACTTGTTCATTACACTACCTTAAGTTGACATGGAAGTACATCTTTATACTTCATTTTTCCTATTAAAGACAATTGCAAAAGAACATAAATGGCTAAATTTATTCCCTTCCAATGACTTCTTCACATATAAACAAAAAAGATAAATTCCAAGAAATTTCATGACAACAATAAAATGCCAAAATTTATAACATTGACATTGTTAATTCAACTTTGCCTCTTCTTAGCACTATCACTTCCAAAAAGTTGTAACACGGCATTGTGTTTGGAATTCTTCTTAAGGTTGACAATCCACCACAACAATTCAACTTTAATGTTACAAACATCCTCATCAAAGTATGATGGACTTATATACCCATCTTCATCAAAGGAAGAGTTATCCCATGATTTCAGCCACTCAATGATGTGAACCCTGCAAGATCTCTTGCATAGGCAAATAGGTTTAATCAAATTGCTTAAAAAACTAAAAGAAGCTACAATAATGGAAAGTTAACATATTAATGTAACGTATATATCGGTTTGGAGATTTTTTTTTTGGCCAAAGGTTTGGAGATTTAACTTGTGCTCATTTAACATCCTTCTCAAATTCTTCCTCATTCTTAAACAGTTGGGGTTTCATTGCATGCAACAATTGGTGGTCAAAGGAATAACAATCTTGACCAAAAAAGCTATGAGGTTAGAGGCAGCAACGGACTTGGTGGTCATTCCTTCAACGGAGATTATTGGATGACAAGTCCGGCCACAAAGGCTTTGTTGAAAAACTTTGTTAACCTCGCTACGTGATGCCTCAGTTACATGCTTCAAAGCTTCCAAGTGAATGTGTACACAAGATGTTTTTCTTCTCAACAATTTTAAAGGCAACTTTATCATTTGACTTTTAAAATTAATTTCATATTAGAGCCCCAACTGTGCAGTGATATATTAGAAAGTTTAGGGTCCTTTTTTTTTTTTTATCATCATCAGTCAAAGGTCCCTCTGTGAAATTTTCCCAATATAAAAACTACAGGGATTTCTATGACATATTGAAATTCATTTATGTAATAACTAGCTGAGGCTAGATTCACTTGTCCAGGTTCGAAACTCCAAGAAGAGTTCACGGTTTCAATTTGGTTTGGTTTCTATCGATTCTTGTAAGCATGAGATCTTTTCGATTTTCTAGTAATCGGTTTTGGTCACTTTTCCTTTGGTTTTGGTTTATGTGTAGATCTTCGAATTATTGTTAAAATTTTTAAATTTTTGTTTTCATAATATATATATATATATATATGTATGTATGTATGTATGTATGTATGTATTAATATTTTTAACTTATTAGCATTATTCATTAAAAAAATTCTTCAAAGAAAAGAAGAAAAAACATCTACCCATAATTAACATCAATTTAGAATAAACTCTATATTTTCGTTGAGGAGAAAGAAGCAAATAAATTCTATATTTTCATCGAAATTCTTTATTAGATTGGGTCGGGGAACTTGAGATAATTTACTAAGTAAATAAATAGTGTAAATTTTTTTTTACAATAGTATAAAAATTTCAATCAAGACTGGTCAAGGTTTGGTTTAGGTTCTTAATGCCCAAAACTGAAATTTGAACCAAGCTACTCGGTTTATAAAGCTTGAAGACTAAAATAAACTTGATCACCAATTAACTTTAATCAATTCTTTTCAGTTTGATTTGATCCTTTTGTTTGGGTTTGAACACCATTGTTAGAAAAAAAAAAGTTGAGTGAATTTGATGTGATAAAACTCATATTAAACAAAGTTGAGGGAAAATTAGTACATAAATGAAAAGAACTCATACATACATGATACTTTATATAGCATTTAGATTGATAGATTTAAATTTAAATTTTAAATTTTAAATCTTACATTTAAAATTTATGTATATAAAATCCTTTGTTTGAATATATTATTAAAAAAATTTAAAAGTAAAAGAAAGACAAGCTGATATTTAAAGTAAAAACGAAAGATTGAAAATAATAAGTTTACTTTTGTTTTTCAATTGATGAGAATGAAGAACGAGAAATGGTGAGAGTGGGAGACTAACAAAGGCACTAATAGTAAAAATATAAAGAAAATAAAAGAGTTGGAATAGGTGAAATTTTAAATAATCAAAATTAAGAGAAATTTAAAATTATAAAGAAAGTATATAAAACATAAATTTGGTTATGGATCAAATCCAGATCCAAAAACTTTTATGTATCTAAATAAAGGATTTAATTTAAATCTAAATTCAAATCCTCCTACGTCCAAACACACTATTAAAATTTTAAACTAGAGCATAGAGCATGTTTTTATGATGAGTAAAAGGGACTTTCATTGATAATGATAGGATCTCAAATGCGCTTGATGATACAGAGGTTTTGTGCCATCTATCTAAGAATTTTTGGAGCCAAACGAGCCGAAGTGGAAGAAGTGGAATGTTAATGAGTCATTGTATTATTGTGCATGTGTACGCCTACATTAACACTTCCATATATTTACCTGCAAATACGGTTTTATATTAAACAACTTCTTATATTTATCAGACAATAACTTAGGACTTAAGATTGGAAATCAAGTCAATTTCATGATCTGTAGCATTTGTACGAATTGATTTTCAAAAATAACTACACAGTTGGTGGAAAATGATTCATTAATATTCCCGTGCAAAACTCATCATTGAGATTCTAACCACGCATCTACTCCTTTCATTGGCACCTGGACGCCGGCCTTCCACACGTCAACCCTTTAGTTCCCCGAGATACATGTGCTGTATGCATAATAATTAACTTTTACTGGGACGCTCCCATAGTTTTCCATTTCTACCACGGCTTAATCAAAGCGTGCCGCGAAGATGAAAGTTATCAGATCCACAGGAAAGTTGTGGAGCTTTCTGTGGTTGAAAGCACAGAAAGCCCAACCAGAGCAAATTACAGAGATGCTCTTATGTCTGAAGTGAGTAGCGTCACTACTGAAGACGCCCAAGATGGTGAAAGCTCTCAGGAAAAGCATGAAATGAAAGAAGGGGCGTTAATGGAGGAGGATGCGGCAAAGAACGGTGAAGAGAAAGAGAATAAGACGGGAAGGGTACGAGAGGTACGTGTACAATGTGCCGAAACAAGTGCACCCAGGGATGTGGATTTCAAGAGATGCCATGATTATTCACAACAATCTTTGAGAGGCTGGCTGATGAGGCTGCAAGGCTCATGACCTGCATAGAGGAAGACTCTGTCTTCCAGGGAGATGCAAGGGTCAGTGAAGCTGGTTTTGCCAGGAGAGCCTGCCAAGCACGCCCATGCTGAAGCTGTCAAAGCTGTCATCACCTACCTTTCTTACGATGCCTAATTGTTGGCAACTCCGTTTTGATGCCTTTTTGCGTGGATAGTACTGCATCGCTGGACGACCACTTATCGTTATCTTAGTGTATCTGTTAATTTTGTTTATAAAATTTTTTGGTACTGTATATAGTCTCTGAGAGCAGGTGTACTTGGAATATTATAGCAGTAACTATACCGTGTAAGAGCACCAATGTTCCCTGACTTGGCTTGGGATTTCAATTGAACCTGATGTTCATGAACTGAAGTTTCACATCTATCAGATGTCTCAAGACAAATTCTTTTATATATCGTGCTTCAGATGAAGTTGGAACTCTCTTAACTCTTCCATCAAAACAGGTATACCACTCTTTCTGAGAATCTCGCAATTAGTTGAACTATCCAAAAAGCAGGCTGCACTATGATCCCATACCACTGTTTCAAGTGGAGAATCATCGGTTTAATATTTCGAACATAAGAGGAAACGTTGCCGTCCGAAAAGAGTCAACTTTTGGGGCTTAGACCAAAGAGATGAGGATGAGAGGGGCTGACTGATCGAGAATAGATTTCCGCTGAGATCAAAATGGTTAGTATTTAATTTAATTTGTTTTTATATTTTTTATTATAATAGATCTTGAATTTAAGAAAAAATATTTTTTAAGTATCACCTCTTTTTTAAAAAATAATTTATCATTTAAAATTTTAAAAATTAAAAACTTCAACTGGACAATTTAAGTCTCATACATCACAATTTGGACTTAGTTAACTCATTGCCTCTCCAAGTGTGTTCAATGACAAGCTTGTACATGTTTCAATGCATAAAAATGGGGAAACATGCCTTTTGATCCGTTCAATTGAAGAGAAAGGATGTGAGAGAGGACGCCTGAGCTAAAACAAACACGCCCCAAGTAATTCCGAGAATCCATTCATGTAGTATTTTCGTCAAAATAATAATGTTACTTAGAATGGAGAAGGAACATTTTGTTATATTGGTTAGGTAGGATATAGCATGGCTCAGGAGGAATTGGCCATCATCAAATGCTTTTTTCTCTGATAGTAATTTAATCTAATTGTGAAGTAAAAGGCATTCCTCAATATTAATATTAATATATGTAAGGTGAATACGTTCTTACGAGACTGTCTGACGAGTGAAAAGGGGCTTGCCAAGATAAGCTGTCTAGCCAGACTGCCAGCCCGGTAAGGGAAAATTATATATATGTGTGTGTATGTATATATAGTTCCATTACCAGAAGTTCTTTCCTGATAAGGCATATCATTTGTCAAGCAACAACAAGCTTGCATGCGTGTGTGTGTGTGTGTGTATTATCTCTAAAAAATGAAGGCACGTAGTCCCCTGACGATTCAGTTCAACCGATGAAACTACAAGCCCAACATCACACTGTATGCATCAGTAGCACTAGAACTCCACACACCACGACGCCTCTCTTCTATTATTTCCTCCCTTTTGAGTTTTTACCTCTTTCCCCTCTTTTTTGGATCAGCAATCACAAAATGAATATAAACCTACAACTAACCGGCAGCTCACGGAATCAGAGGAGCCTAGGGTCTCATCCCTATTAAATTAAACGAGATGCACAGGAGGAAGCTCCGTAAACAGCATATTTTTTTTTTATTCATTTCAGAGTCGAGGGCGAAAAAAATGCTATAGGGTGGGTATCCCCATCTGTGCACTCAGCATAAATACAGACATCATGAAATCTGAAAGGGGGGAAAATATACCTGGAAAATGTCCAGGATCTACTACTGGTCAGGTTCCTGTATTTTGTTAAAAGTGTGGGCATTATTTTCACGTCGAAGTTATAGTATAGAATAAGCACGTATCACCTCCACCACAGGCGCTTGACACATTGGACACTTTCTTCTACTTTGGAACAGCTCATTGGCACATTTTGAACAAGTGCACATGTGCCCGCATCTACAGCAAAAGCATAATAGTTTTTCAGTGATAATAATCAGGCGTAGACCGGCCATTAATGTGTCAAATTGATACAGAATAATACCTGTACAACAAAGAATCAATATTGCTTGCGCGGCATATACAACATAGTCCTTTTCTTACGCATTCCCATTTAGACTTTACATCGGGTGAATCATGGTCATGCATATCTGTGATCCATGTAACTGAATTTTCTAAGTAAACCTTCAATAGAAAACCCAGAAGGCCCAAATGAAAAGGCCTGGAGATCAATATAGGATGTTAAGGTTGAAAGAAAAGAAATGCAAACCTGATGAACCAGCTGAGCGATTTAGGGCTGCAGAAACTTCCTGTCTTATTGAGCGCTGCAACTCAAGCTGCATATCCATACAGGCCTCCAACATTCTCTGCATATTATTCATTCTTTGCTGTAGCCTAGCCATGTCAATTCTCAAGTCATTGATAATCTCCCACTCCTGACAAAGCCAGTGAATCAAATAACATAAATTTAATAGAACAAAAACTCAAAAGTCCAAGCCATGAACAATTCAGCTAAGGAGAAGTAAAAATGTTGTATTAAACATGAAACCTAGGACCAATACTAGAGTAAATGAAACAATTTTTCTCATACTCACCAAAGAAAATGAATGCCCAATTCCTGGATGCTGATTATTCATCTCAGCTCGCGGCCAATTGTCATGATTGGAATGTCGTTCCCAGAGAGGCTCAGGAGGTGTTGGTGATGAAGGTTGGTCAAGTGGAATGTTGATGGTATCCTCCTGACCAACAATCTGATCCCTACGCGGCTGCTCCAGGTCCTGTTCAACTGAGGCAGAAGAAGGAGTTGTTTCTTGCAGCTCCCACTCAACATGAGCATGACCTTGCCTTTCAACATATGATTGTATCAACTGGTCAAGACTTTCGCGAAAACTGCTGCCAAGGAGGTTGGAAACACTTCTCCTACAAAATGAGAGAATACTTGTTCTCGTTTAGTTTTGTTTTATAAAAGGGCATGCATTATCCCTCCTATCATATTTACATACCTATTTAGCAGTTCCCTGAGTTCCACGCTGTTCACATTGTCATCATCTGGAAAGTAAAAGCCATGTATTCTACCAACTGGAGCAACTTCATGATCAGAAGGTCCACCCAACCAATTTTCCACAGCCTCCTGAAAGCCACCATCCTCCTGCCACATTTCTGGGGCTTCTGGTAGATGAGAATTTTCCCCATCTTCATTGCCCAAAATGTCTTGAGGCCACTCATTGGCTGTACCACCAGGACGATTATCATCTAGACTTCCCTCTAAGCCATTTCTCAGGGATTCATCACTTCCTTCATTTTCAATAATTTCTTCCTGCTGATGTTCTTCCAGAGCAGTAGAGTCATACCTATTTTCATCATCTACCATAGTGGCTTCCATAACATCACTAGAAGCTGATAAACCATTATCATCATTGCTTGTGACCCTCGGCTCCGATTCCTCAGGATATACCTCACTAGATCCCTGCATGTTGCTATATTCTGTAACTTCAATCTGACAACTCTGTTGCATGAGTCCATCAATGGTATCTTCAACTCCCATCACAACAACATATTGCCCACTATCATCTCTTCTTCTCATCCCAGTACTGGATGATGATTGGCAATCTCTTGACTCAAATTCCAAAAGCTGTGATGACCCTCCTATATCAGCAGCGGGGTCTTGACAATCTAAATCTTCCGTAATGGTTACTTGAGTAAAACTCTGACCATCTACAATCCCAACTCCATCACTTCCTCCAACGGTAGGTTCAGACTGTTCAAAATGTACAATTGAGACCAAAGGTAAGCTGCTGGAGTCAGTTTGCTCGTTTGAATTATCATCAATGCCACTGTTGGATGAGGTATCTGACAGAGCGCAAATTACTTGACTTCCACTAGAATTGTCCTTCCCAGAGAAAAACCCTTCCCTGTTTGAAAAACAAGTTGACAATTTTGATATGAAGCACAAACAAAACATTACAACTATTACAAATCAGAATAAAGTCTCTTTTCAAATTACAGGCCGAAAGAACTACTCACCTTAGACCTGATACAGTCTGTTTTTGCCTCAGTAAGCCTAATTCACTTTCAGCTATGGAAGTGGGCCGGTTAACATCAATCGATCTGTCGTTTCTCAAGAACCTACCCCTGAGAAATGCCTACAAACAATTTTAACATCCACTCATCAACTGCAAATTGAGATTCATCATTTAAGATGAAGATAGTCTCAAAATTCTTTGTACCACAGTACTTGGATTCACGGCAGCTTCAAAATTCTTTGGATTGTCAAAATTGTTTCAACTTTTAATGATTTGTGTCTCAAGAATTTCTCGGATTTCACCATAGAAAAAAGAAGAAGAAGAAGAAGCAACTTTCAACTTTCCTTTGTTTCTGTACTTCATATCAAAATATAAGTTTAAGTCGCTACATTAACAAAGACATTATTTCACATGTAATTTAACATAGAATTTTATTATAAAACCAAGATGACTAACCAAAACAGTTAACAGATAACTAAATATCTTTTGCCCATTTCACAAAAATAGAGTTTCAAACTTGATGCCCATGCTGCGCAGGCAAAGAGGAGAAGAAATACCTTCAGAATCATATAAATTAATTAATAATTATTAAGGGCAAACCTGAATGCGGTTGCGATGGGGAAAATGAGATACAGCTCTATGGTCCAATAATTCCTGAACTTCTCTTTGTCTTTCCCTCTCAGCCTTCTTAAGCATATCAAGCAGGACCTGTCTGCCACACAATTTACGAATACCCCTTCGCATATGCTCTGTTTGACCCTCACTCTGATTAACAGCAAACCCATCACGAACTCGTTCTATTTGGGTACCAATTTCAGCTGATTGTTCTTCCCTGTTGTCCCCAGAAGCAATAACTCTCTGCTGGCTACTCAATTGTACCCACTCCCTTATGATTCTCACCCTCTCCTGCTCAGTTTCACCCAGCCATTCTGATCTTGAACTGCTATTACCTTGGGGAATGTTAGTGGCTCGATCCCCAGCACCACTTTTCATCCATTCCCTGAAAATTTGCCTCACCCTTTCCCTTTCAATTTCTCCAAGATCAGAAGAATTATCACAACTAGAATTGTTTAATTCATCCTGCTCGTCAGGAGATTCAAGCTGACTTTGTGACTGTGACCATGTTTCACAATCATTCTCACCCAAAATCGAATCTTCTACAACATGCCTCTCTCCTGTCTCATGGCTACCTGGAATACTTGCCTGTGAGAGGTCAGTGATGAACTCGTCACTCCTTTGCTGAAGTAATTCATCACTAGGTCTTCCTTGGACTTGACCCACCACATGCTCATCCTCAATCTCTCGCCACGTTTGCAAGATTGAAGAAGATCGGGTGCTTCCACTCCCTCCATCTCCTCGCCTCCTAGGTGATTGAGAATGGGAATCCCTAAGAAAAGAAGAGTCAAGCACAGACAGATTATGTAGGCCAGCAATAGCCATTTCTAATTTACCCTTTTAACGAGCATACAGATCTTTTACACCCATCAGAGTCCAGTGCACTAAAATTCGCATACTTAGCAGGCAGAATCAAAGGAGTCCCTATAGAAACTGGTCGCTTCATATCTGCAAGGATTCGACCCCATTGCATTTGCCATTAGAATCCGTGTCCTAGCTATCACCCTTATCAATCTCAGCCCCATCATCAAGAAAGGGATTACGAAAATTGGACTATTCAAATGAAGGAGTTACAGCTACTAAACCTCAGCCTGCAAAAGAAAGGGAAAAAAAACTATATCAATATTTTTAATAAAAAAGATTAATTTGAAATAAAAAGGTGACTTACAAGAAGTCATCGAATTTCTATACCGTAACAAAGATTCGGCAGATAGTAAAATTGAAATCAACAGACTCAACAAAAAGAAGACTCTGTTTTTTGATCCTTAGCGCCGTCTAAAAATTTGCCGGGAAATCGGACCTCGGATTCTTTATTTGGTAAAACTCATACTCGATAAGGTCAGGGGAGCTGAACAAAACACAGACATTCGCCCCTCTGCACTGAAGGAGCTGGAATTCTTTAGTTTATCTCCAGAACAACGAATTTGAAAATCCATTCCTGACCATTTTTCTCACCTTTCTCAAAAGCCCGCCAGAGAGAGGACAATGGAAACCGCACACAATTGAAATCGGGAAGCTGACTATTCAATTTTCCAATAGAAAGAAGGCAATGGAAAACATAACAGAATCCACAATCAGCCTTAGAACCCGAAACAGAGGATTTGAGCATCCGATTCGATAAATAAAGAAGATAAAAAACTTACCAGTGAAGTTCTGCTTTTGATTATAAAGTAAAGAAAACGAAACCCTAGCAATGAAGAAATTCAAAGAGAGAGAGAACGTAAATGGAAGTATGTGAGGGAGAGAAGGAAAGAGGGAAGAGCGCCGATTTACAAATAAAATAAATAAATGGGGACATGTCATTTGGCATCTGACTTTCCAAAGAAACTGCCGTAACACTAACGTCTGAATTTTCGCGACCGGTTATCATTCAGTGACACGTGGCGGTTTCCTTTCATATCTTTTACTTTTGGGTTAGCAACGACGAAATTTGCTAATCTTCAATTCAACGTGAAGTTTGCCATTAGTCACCGCACCACCATTCAGCGCAGTCGCACATCAGAGCCAATCCCCCCAGAAAAAAATAAAATTAAACAGTATTGAAATTGAATATGCAATTGCAAACCATGCATAACATTCTTAGATATTTTAAAATGTTATTTATATCTCTTTCACTAAAAATGTCTGAATAAAAAGAACTCTAATGAGAAACACACATGTAGTGTTAAGTAGTTGGTTAAGGAGTAGAAACATATGTCATGAGTAACTTTTCCTATGATTTGTATCTCTGCCAACAATGATTTGTTAGTTTTTGTTGAGTCAGAAAAATGAATTAATAAACACGTAGACTGATTCCAATCGATCTTAGCTACGGCTTCATAATAATTTCGAGGAAAACCAGCGGGAGAGATGGGATGAAAAGCTGAAGGAATAAAGTTGTTTGTCGATGATGATGATGAGACGGAAAATTCATGGTTTTGGGAGATAAGACGGGTTACTAAATGGCTGTAATCATGGGGTCATTTAGGTGATCTCATCCGATGAAACAACAACTGTGCTTTTTATATGAATAAAAAATAAACATAAAAATAACCAAAAAGGGAGGCAACCAAGTAATCATCGTGGAGTACTCGAGAACCGGTAAAATTGATGTCCTGATCACCCTCTCTTAAATACTTTAAAGTTGGCGGGACCTGTGACTAATTTAAGTAAAACCCACGCAGAAACTATGTTCATCAATATAGCCTCTTTTTTTGCACTCATGTGTAACTCTCTTTACAGTTTAGACTATTTCCTATAGTTTGTTGTGTTGCATTTCTCAGATCCTCGAATCTACGGATAAACAGTATAGATTTTGATTCCTGAGCTCCAATTTCAATTCACCAGCCGCGGAATTCTAAAAAGAGAAAACTTGTAAAGATGTCTTCCTAAAGCCACTCAAGCCTAATCATCAGCTTTTGCTTTGTTTTAATATTAACTTTATCCTGTGAATTTTAGAGTTCGTGGAGCCAAAGCAACCCCCAAATTCAAAAATATAATTGTTAGGCTCAAGTTTTGCAGCCCCGCTACCAACCCCCTCCCCCCAAAAAAAATTCCCCTTTTCCTTTTCTTCTTCTTTCTCTCCTAGCTTCTTTCTTTTTTAAATCCAATCCTCCCTTCCTCTCCGTCTGTGTTGTTAATAAACGACTTCTAGCGCAGAAAGAGAAGATCAGAATGAAAAAGCTCAACGACCGAGTTGACTTCCCGACAACTTGAGCGCAACTAATTGTGTTCACAAGCTCACTAATTTGAATTTCCACAAGCAACTGACGTGGTTGATAATGGTAATTGAAGGGCTTCCTGAAGCTGTCGACATCGATATGAATAAAAAGTCGTCAGACGCCAATGTTGTCCGTACATGCATGGATCCAAATGTTCCGAGTGGGAGGGCTTCCTGAAGCTCGTACAAGGGCGGGCAACGCAATGTGTGTGAGTATGGTCCCGTCTCCGCGTCTAATCTAATCTGCTTGCTATTTACTGTCAGACGCAAGTGGCATATTCGCGAGCACGTTGCATGCACATCCCGAAAGGTGCGGGAATAGTCATGTTCTTCTGTCTCGCTCCCCTTTAAACAACAAATCGCCACTGCTCGTTTCCGTGGCTTTATTATTGTTCTTTAAAGTTATGATGGGATGTAAGTTTCTTTGGATTACTGTCAATGATTACTTCATGGGATGCTGGAGTGCCATATTTTTAACTAAAAAGAATGATCAGAGAGTGAAAAGGCAAAGGGTGGTGGCCATGGGAAATAATATTAATGGTTGGGCCAAAAAGCTAGTGGAGAAACCGGAGGAGGAAATTTAAAGGAGAGATGAGAAGTGAGTTGGGAGAGAGTAGATAGAGAGACGTGCAATAGCAGCATGTCTCCGGATGAAATAATATAATTATTGTAAATGATGGATGGAGTTATATATTAATCAAATCACTAATATAAAAATGACTTTTTACGGTGATTAAAAATGACTTTTTACAACGGTTAACGAGACGATGTTGTTCCAGGGGGTGTAAAAAGTCTCTCTTTTTATATCGGTTATAAACCCGATGTAAAAATTAAATTTTTTACATCGGTTATAAAGCCAATGTTGAAAGTTATATACAAGAAAATTAAAAAAAAAATTACTTTAACTTTTTACACCGGTTCCAGTCCCAACCGGTGTGATTGGGATTGGAACCGATGTAAAAGGTGCACTTTTTACACCGGTTATGACCATAACCGGTGTAAAAAATATTATATTCTACAACGGTTGTGGTAATAACCGGTGTAAAAAGTATTTTATTTTTTTATATTATATTTATTTTATCGATTTTACCCATTCCTGTACATAGAAATTGTCAAATCAGACAGCCCAATTAATTTACAATTGTTTATCAAGTATTTATCAACTATACAAAGCTATTTAACTATTAAAAAAACTAATAATTGTTTAAATTGTCAAAATTGCCATTCCTGTGCATAAAAATTGCCAAATCAGACAGCTAAATTCATTTACAATTGTTTATCAAGTATTTATCAACTATACAAATCTATTTAACTATTAGGAAAACTAATAATTATCTAAATTATGTCAACTATCAAAATTAAAACATGTCTAAAAGTAATAAAAAACCTCACAAAGTCTCCACAAAATAGGTTGCCCAACGTATGCGGATGTCTTCAATTTCAACTTCAGAAAATGCATTCAAATTGTCGAACATCTAAAATTTAATTCATAAAGTAGGCATATTAATCAATCTCAAATAACATAATAAAATAAAATTTTAAAAAATATATATATTTACCTCTTTTGTAAGTTCGGTCATGCCTAATGTGATAATATTGAGCATGTGCCTCATGACATATAGACCGCACAAGTTCGTCCTCACCGGTTGTCTATGACTCTATATAAGAACAAATCATAAAAAATTAGTAAGAAATCTTAATGGTTGAATATATTAATAAAGTATAGCATCACCTTTGGCTCAATCCATGTGGGATCCTTGAGCTCATGTCCATGCTTTGTAAGACTACATTTTGATATGTTCTCATTGCCCTATGATCAAGATTACCAAGTTAGTAAAAATATTCAAAAAAAATTAAATTAAATAGTTTAGTAAAAGTATTCTTACAAGTCTATCGTCTTCTTCATTTCTTTCCCAAGTTTGTAATGGAGGGAGCATAAAAAGACGACAGTGTTGCTCTTCATTGAAAGAACAAATAATTGCCAATGGTCCCTGCTAAATATAATACAAGTTAAAGTAAATCCACATTAAAAAACTATTAATTATAAATTGATCCTTACGAGTGCACATATGGAGCCATAAAAACATCCTTTTTGACTTCACATATTCTCTGTTGGAGGTACGCGGCCCTTAACTCTGGAGTATTACCTTTCTCTATCATGTGATGAGGGCAAAGGAATCCAAACTTATCACCTTTGCCCGATGTAATGCACAAATGATGAAGATACCTACAACAATGTAATTATATTAGTTTACTAAACTTGATGATTAAGTTTACTTACAACAATGCAATTATATTAAAGAAAAAGATACTTATATCATAAATAGTTCAATGTGTGGTGTGGTAAGCTGATTATTTGATAGAAGTCGAACCAAATCTTCCCGTTCAATTGTCACTATCATGTTTTTCTTGCCCACAACCTCCGAATCCATTTCTAAACTCTTGAACTTGAATGATAAATCATACGCCATTAAAATCATTCATTGATGCGGAGTCAACGAGAGTTGTGGAAGCTTTGGGAGATTCGACGAGGAAAGCTTCTACATAATAAAAAGACAAGAAATAGTTAATAAAAAACATATATTAGGAAGTTGCTACATAATAAAAATTTATGAAATTTTGTACCACAGCTTGAACTAGATTCACAAGTCTCTTGGGCCATAGGATAAAATTGCCAATAACTTCAACCACAGTCTTCACCTCATCAGTAGGGAATGGAACCAAAGCATCTGGCACTTTTGGATCTGCAACCACCACTCTTACTTGATCATCTTGAATTTGCTTGTGGTGGATGGTTGACCCCAAGCTATAGATGCTACCAAGAGCAACCAAGCATTTATCAGGATCTTCTAGAAATATCTCACATGGTTCACCAATGTTGTCACCAGAAGGACCCTCTGACACATGCTCAAGAATATTACTCCTTTTTGTACTATGAAATGCAGGAGATGTATGAACTGGTTCAGCAGTTGTCTCCTGTCGTGAGCTCATCATGCTCATCATCTCCTCCTTCATTTGCTCTTTCATTTGTAGAAGCCAAGCTTTAAATGAAGCTTCAAACTCATCCTTAGTCTGTTGCCTCACAGTGGATATCAATGTATCAAGCTCTTTTCTAGTCACTACACCTCCTGAATTAGGACGTGCAGGTGCTCCAAAGTAGTCCTTAATGCCCACACCATATCCAACGCCCCTCACACGACCCGGATGCTCTGGCTTGCCTGTAGCAACTGTTAAGATATC